ATCATTTATTTCGTCTCCTATTTCTCATACCAACCATCACCACTATCCATTCTAACGATTCCTATCCTGTAGGACCTTCTGCCGTACCCCCCGGCATAGTCTAGCATGGCTGGCTGGTGGGAATGAAACACTCAAAAGCTTTTTTTCACCTTCATGCAGCTACATAGCAAAACCAGACGAGGACGTCGGCAAAATCCACTGCGAGATACCCACTTCATGTCTAGTTTGAGAAAATATATTTTTTAGTAATAAGTTTGAATCCTTTGGCTGAGGAACCACGTAATTGTTGATGTTGAGAGACGGATTTGGATAAACGACACACGATTTTCTTTTTTTTTTTTGGAAAAGAACAGTAGAAGAACATTCAGATTATCAAATCTTTTACATAGATCAGTTGTGGGTTACCCTCAATCTTCATCCTCAACGCTGGTCAATCCAGGAGTACAATGAAGGAGTAATGATAATAAGTTTCAGCCCAATGATGCACGATCAATTTGAAATTAAACAGTTTGTAATGGGGAAATGAAGCAAAAAGGGTAAAAATGAAACCAAAGCTCTAGGCAATTGAAATCGGATGCAACCAGCATCATAGCATCATCTGCCATCTCTAGTAAGAACTAACAATTTCGAAATGAGTTGCTATCTACGGTTGGTAGTCTTGACCAATTGCTGGAAAGCATATTCCGTTTGAATGCCTTAGCACGTGTTTTTTCTATGGCTTTGAAAGTGAACAGATTCTGATGTTTGCTAATAGAAATTTTTATGTTTTCAACTACTCATTTGAATTTTAAATAAACACTGGTGTTTTTGTGTAAATTATTTATAATTACATTAAAAAGTAGTCTCATTAAAATTCTTAAAGTTGTAGTCATTTTAATATGTTTTTAAATATATCATGAGCTTCTCAAGTTAATGCAGATGAAGAAATGCTTTCTGTAATTTGGAGATTATTATTGTTTCTGACCGCAGAGTTCGCGTAATTTTTTGTATCGGTGCTACTCTTTAAACAATAAGTGTCCACATTAACAATTAATATCATGCGCTGCGAGTTAAATTGTTATTAAAAATGTATTGAATTTTTAATTTTTCGCTCTCGCTTCTGGAGATAGCTCTAGGATGCTAGGATATTGAGCTTGCTTGGTTGCAATCGACGCTGCACTTTCTTTCGTTTGGGACTTCTTATTAGTGACGCAGTTATGGCGTCTACACTCACCCTTGTATTCTAATACGTCTAGGTGGTGTTGCGTAAATCTGAAAAGATCTGAAAAGCCTTGCAACATTACTTTATCTCACTATAGAGAATTATCGTTCGTTGCAGAAAGTTAGTAGATATGCGTAAAGAATGTTACACTTATGCTTAAATTTTATTTTGTGGGCACCTTATAAAAATAATTGTTGAATTGATTTTGATTATTATGTACACGCTCTCAAAGAGTATATCTATCTACTTGACTATGCTTACTAGTTGATGAATAATTAGACGTCACATTAGTTCCGAGAAGTTCCTCGGCAATTACTTACGCTAATTGCATTACCATACAATCGCCTTCTTGCCAATTAATTCGTTAATCGACAACATGATCGGAATACAGAGACGATTAGTAAGCCAAGTCACCTTTTCCGGACTTGAACGTAAAATCAATCTTATATGGAATAATTACGCATTTTGTATGTCCAAAATAAGTTGGTTTAATTAAGGAAATGTACGAGTACTTTTTAAGACAATTATACGTATTACAATATTCACAGCATACTTAATTTTGGAGGTAATTTAATTTTTAATAGGTGGGTACTTATTGAGAATATATACTCAACCGAATGCATAATTCAACTTGATCTAACGCACCTAATTCTTTATGAAATTTTTAATTTTTTTGGGTTCTGCACATCGAAGCAAAAGAAAGGACAACTCTTGTAAGATTTACTAATATTACCATAATTTTCAGACATAAAGTAATATTTTTTATTTGGATAATTACGTATATTGCTGAAAAATCCACTGCTTCATAGATATTGAGAAATTTGGGATTTTTATTACCCGCCAATAAACAATCTTGCGGTCGATGACTTCTAAATATTTCAATAGAATGACATTCCTAGAAATTTCACGAGTTCAGAAATAATGCTTGTCGAGTTTGTAATACTGTAGAATATTGTCAAACAAATTGTTTATTCATGATAACGTAATTAGGTTGATTCATAGTGAAATTCTCACAATTTCGTTGTTTATTTTGTTGTATTTCTTAATAACGTGGATGAAAAATCGTGAAATTCAATAATGAAAATGAATAGCAACCGTTTTGGACTCATCATCATCATCGTCAATGCCAAGCCTATACATATTGACTGTTGTGTTAACTTTCACTCGGTTTGAACATTCAACTATTTTAACTCTGGTCTTTCCCTACTTCTCTCATCATCAAAGGGTCGTCAGTCCTAAGACTGGTTGGACACGAGTCTCCACTCTTTTCTGTCCTGAGCACATTTCCTTAAAACTAGAACATCCCACATCCTTAACTATTTGCGAACAGTTATCTATTCTAGGTCTACCTCTATTCGTCTTACCTTCTGTTTCTGCTTCTAATGTATTATCTGACTAGCCCTTCATGCCTGAGAAGGTACCAACCTATCTTACCTATTTCTTGTTTTGACTTACACAGAGTCCTCTGTTCTCCTACTCTTTCTAATACCTCTTTATTTCTAACCGTCTCTATCCACGGTATCCTCATCATTCGCCTGTAACACCACGTTTTCAACCTTCTAACATTTTTTTTTCCGCCGCACCCGTACAGCGCCATGTCCCAGACATATATCTTTAACAATCCTTTTCAAAGCACAGAAGTGACTTTTTTGTTGAAGTCTACTCGACCCTGCGCTATCCTCTGTTCTATATCTCTGCTACTCCTTCCTTCTTGAGTTATCTGACTTCCTAAATACTAAAAGTTCAGTCATCCCTAAAGAACTGGACACATCTTCGTTAACGAATGAATCATGGAAAAGAGATCTCACACGTGGTCGGTTTCATATTGGCAGTAGTTTCTTGGAGAGACTTTATTGTAGTTATAGCATTACAGAAGAACGATGTTTGACAACTACAGGTTTGTTCTTACCTGACATTAAAACAGAAAATTTTGTTGCAGTGATTTTCTGGCTTATTATTACACTTCTTTGCTTATTCAAACTTGTTTGTGGTGCAACTTTTTTGATGACAGCAGCAGTAGCAGCGCGTGCTGCCGGTAAATACTTGAGTGGAACAAACGATATTAGATTAGATATTAAGAAAAAAAGAGATGGCGATCGCTCTTAGGCGTTAAACAATGTAACTTCCCAACGGTCTTCTGCACACCTGACCGTTAATAATTTACTTTTAGTCTCACATACTTGCTTACGCATAGAAACAATACCGATGATGCAGCCATTTTTAAATTTTATAGACTTAAAAGGATTCTTATCAATTGTAATGTAGTCGCGTATAGTACAGTACCAGTAAGAACGTGGAAATGAAGCAAACGAATGTGAATATATTATTACAGGAATTTGATAGTTGGCGTGGAATTGTTGGCAAAAACGATCCAATCTCCAAGGGACACCGACCCCTGGCGCAAAATGTAACGCTAAAGCCTTTTTATTTCGTTCACGTGGTCGGATGGTACCGGTTGGAACGTGTTTTGATGGCCTATAAAAACAAGCTCAGGCAACAACACAAACACCAGAAGCATCTGTGTTTTAAGAATGTTACGTAGTTAGTTATATTCATATAAAGCGATTTACGCAAAAGCAATCTTCAAACTTCCAATATCTGTTTAGCAATACTATTATGTTATATACATATCATACAATTATTTAAATATCAATTTTTGTGTGCGTGTATATTTCATGTAGACCATTGTTTAAATAATATTAAAAATGGTGAAGGCGCTGGACATAGTTAACTAGATAAAAGAACCACTCTTTCAGTTTGGCTAATGTGCCTATACCTTTGTATGTACTGCCATGTTAAAGGCTCTGAAATATTGCAGTAAATACTTATCCTTCATTTACTTTCTCTAGCGATGTGCCCCTTCAAATAATTTGAATGCGCGATGGCAAAATCGTAGGTAGGGAGAAAAAAAGCTTATTATACTATCGACTCTTGTTCATTAAACATATTTTTTCATACAGTACCTGCCAAAAGTTTTGTTCAATCATGAATAGTAGTGCGAGTCGAAAGCAAGCATTAAACCCTTTAATATGTCTTCAAATATAAAAAAACATCTCGATATTTTCAGTAGTAAATGGTACCAATAACAGCAAATTTGAACAATGTAATTGTAGTGGATAAAATGGTCAATTTTTCCGTGCTGTACTGTACGGATTATACGCTCCTCACCGGTTAAATGTTTGGTCGAGTGTTGCCTTTTTTTCTTTTCTGGCCTAGTGCTATTCTTTTCTACTTTGCGCCGGTCAAACTGAAGGTCACATCGCTACAGAAACTAAACGTAGTAAATCTATAGTTGACGATATGCACTACCTGGTACTTGATAAAGTAGAAGATTTTGTGAAACAAATACGCGCTCTTGTTTCTTTATAGATAAGCTTTATTCCAGCTATAATACACTGGTTGAACTCCTTATTATCCTGAGCCAATCATTGTATTTTCTAAAGACTCGATATCCCGCGTTCCTCATCTTCATCATAGCGCCAGATCTGAGATTGATATTGGTTAGACATGCACCTCCACTTTTTCCTATCTTGAGCATTCCTAACTATTTAAAAATAGTGATGCAATCTAGTTCTTCATCTTATTACTCCTGCTTTCCATTTTTAACATGTCTCCCAACTAACCCTTTGTGTTTTGATTATTGACTGAGTCATCTGAATTCCTACGTATCGAAAATGTTATTCTTTAACTTTTGTATGATTTCATTCCATACTCTTCCATCAATATCACTTCCATTTTATTAAAGAATATCCCTAACTAGATTGGCTTAAGAAACTCTACATGGTTTTGGTTGTTTCAGGTGGAATTCGAGAGTGCCGCTGAGCATCCATTCTTTGTGTATGGTCGTGGTTGGGCATCGTTCGCACCAGAACGTACCTTACAAGTATTCGGACTGAAAGTTCACCGCCTCCAGGTGGGTGACGTATTGATCTCTCTTACCCCTCGGGAACCTAGCTGTAGCAGCACTTCTTTCTCTTCCTCCTCCATAATAACAACCGCGACGACGACAGCTCCAACGCCGCGACAATTCCAACAGCATCAACAATCTTCAGCCAACATTCACATGTTACATCATCATCATCATCAACAACAACAAGGCAACAGTAGCAGCACAAACGCACCAACGCCGATGACTGTAAGCATCAGTAGCAGTAACAGCAGCGGCGGTCATCAACCCGGTTACAGTCACAATTCGCACTATCATCTGACCGGTAACAGTGGTAGTTCAAACAGTAGCAGCAATCTTCTTAATTTGGTTATCAGTAATTCGAATAATAATAACAACGTGAAACCAATGAACAGCAGTTGTTCGAATTATTATCACATGAACGCTTCGAACACTCACTTGAGTGGTTCGCACTCGTACATAATGAGTAATCAGAGACTGTCGAACAGCCATTCTCAGCCAAATCAGACCGTTTCGGAATTGATCGAGTCTGATGCGTCCAAGAAGAGAAGGTGGTCGGCACCGGATGAAATCTGTGATGATGATGATGAACTACAGACTTCTTCGTCTTCTAAAAAGGTTAAGTTGCAATAGTTAGAAACACGAGCCAAAGTTGTACTATACGTTATAGATGATGATGATGATGATGATGGTTGTACATGAATTATTATTTGTTAATTAACTGTGAGAATGTGGTACAGATTTTTCTTTTTTCTTCAAGACAATGGCCACGACGAGGTCTGAACGATTTCTAAGTATTTCTTTTTCAGTTTCGGTTGTTTTTTTATTTGAGAAAAACAGTTCTCTTTAATTAGTACATGCATAAATATAGGTAAATACAGTTAGTTATTTTATTAATGGAGTTCTTCACCAAGTGTCGCTTATATCAGATGTTGATCAATAACTTCTTGTTGTACTGCTGGCATTCTGTATAAATGTTCCACACTCAAAACTGCCACATTTCTATATATTATATAGGAAACGGAAAGGAAACGATGTGATTAAAAAACGGTAGAGGCCGAGATGCTGTGCTGGCAGGGTTAATTAATTACTAATAATAGTTGGGATTTACATGACAATATTGGCTGTAGATTGAGTCGAGTGGGCCATTGCGGGACCCTACACTCCCTCGCCGTGGTTTACGTAACTAATTTTTTGGAACGACTAGAGTATTAATGATGAGTGATATATTATAAATTCTTACTACCACTTGCATAAATCACCTTTCGATGGCTTTTGTTATTTCAATCTACGTTACGTACATCCCGTTTTTTGGTGCCTTACAGTTTCTCTTTCCATGTTGATTTTTGTTGTTGCGATCTTTTCGACTTATCGATTAAGGGTTCACTCTTCCAAAACCGTTTTCTCTGCTAAATCATTATGATTGATTTATTAGCAAAAAGTTGCATTTCAACTACCTTATGCATATAAGGAAGTGAGATTAAACGAATAAAATTTGTTTAGAAAACAAAATTTACTTCAACTCGTAACGAATGACGTTTTGTAGATTGAAATAACGGACCGCAGGGTGATTTGTGGAATTTCGATCTCAAGGGAGTCGTGTGATAGAATGCTTTTAATGTTTAAAAATAAATTCTCAAAGATCTGTATTTTATTATTTTCTATTGTGTATTTTCATAATCGATATGAATGTAAAATCGATGCATGAACTGATTTAGGTAGAAAGTAGTGAAAGTTACTTATTACTTTTTAGAGTATTCAATAGGGTTGAGTCGTGTCGATAGTTTCAACAACCTTGATATTGTTTATTATTATCATTATTATTATTAATAATATTATTAATTATTAATATTACATATTTGCTTTTTAATGTTGTATATTTTTAATTTCCATGTGAATTTTGGCTGTGATATAGTAGTGTGTGGTGAAATGTCGCTTCCCTCCTATAAAAACAATCACACAAAAATGAAGAAAACGAGAATCCGTGTGAACCATACACAAATACGTTAATTAATAACAGTTGAAAATGACGATACAACATATAGGTGCAATTAAAAAAAACCGTCGTATTACCTCACAGTGCTTGTATAACCAGTCGTGGTTGTTTGAAGTTTCAATAAATACATTGCTTTTCCGGGAACGAAGATAGTAATTTTTTTAAAGTAATGGGGGCTGTTCATAAACCATAAGGGTTTAGTCACTTTTGACCTTCGTCCCCAATTGGTCTCCTTGGACCTCCTGCCTACTAGAACAACGTAATCTTTGTAACAGTTTTGGCCCAATTTCGTTTTCCTCTCTTCTCTGGTAGTTTGCAATGTACATGACTCGGAGTCGAGACAGAAACGAACCTGGACAAAGCCGGAACCGGGACAAAAACGGAACCAAAAATTTCTACCCTTAAATTTACTTCCAAGTATGTTTTCATTTAAATTTAGGAACGTCAAAAATAAAAAAATATTCATTTTTAATAACAATGAAAGCATTTTCTTTCCCGGCATATGATTAATAATAATCTTTTACAAAAGCCTTCCTTCCTCCCTTACGAAGTTTTATGGACAGCCACCATGTAGCAATGGTGATCAACCAGATTCGATCATTTCAGAATAACAGTATTTTTTAGGGGCTGTTCTTATCATTTCGTTATAACTTTATTTTTATTTTATTAAACTAATTGAAACGTTGAAGAAAGACAATATGTATTTTCAAAAATGGAGAGGGTGAAATAATGCAAAATGAAACTTATTATTATTATTTTAAGTACCTAGGGGTAGCGTATTTACAGAATTAATTAAAACATTCTTTAATCACAGAAATCAAACATAATATCTCATTCTTTTATATTGCCTTTTGGTTTAATTAATACAGTACTTATTATGAAGGGTTGAAATGCTAATTAATGAATCAAATCGTTAAGTATTGCAACAATTTCTTAACATAATACCATTCGAATTTTACATTAAATAAAAATGTATGTACGTATGGTCAATTTTTGTTTGTTTACTGTTAGTTGAATTGTTTCAAAGATGACTGGTTTTATAATGATAACAGTTTATGTGATCGAATACTGAGTTGATAAATAAATAATAAATTCAGTCGTAAAATGTAAATGTTTGCGTATGTTTCTATTTTAAGTACTAAAGTTCTTTAGAACGTTGTTATAGACTAAATTTTCAGTTTTGATGTTCGCAGTAAGTGTTTACAATGAAGTGAATCTTTATCGAAAAGTAAACATTTGAAAATATTCCATAATTCGTTGATAAAAACGATATTTTACTATTAATTGGATAGATAGTTTAACAGAAAGAGGCGCCCAGATTGCATTAAAATATATTTTTTATCGACCTATACTCCTAATAACGTCACAACAACACTGTTACTTTTTCATTAGAGATTAGAGTTGGTTGTAATAATAGTTACGTTTTGCTTTTAAATTGCCATCCTTATAGACGCTTTCTTGTGTTTAATTTCTAAGCGAATTGGTACAATTACAACGTAAAGGTTTTCTATGGAAGGTGATGGGATAAATGGGCGATTTCAAAGTCAAACAATTCATTGGTTTCTAATCATCAAATCAAATTTTGTCAAATTATTCAAAGCAATGTTCGGTTTGCTCATTTCTTCAAGTTGGACGATTGACTTTGGTTACAAGCCGTTGTTTCAATGGATTCAATTCTTCGATCCAATTGTCCAATTTCTGGATTCGACGATTTACGTATTTTCGATAATTCCCATTTTTTGGTTTATCAATTAAGCCCTTTCTAATCTCAAGCTAATTTTCTCGAACTTATTAAATTATTATTGATTGTAATCGTTCCAGCGTTGTCAGTTCGAGCACTCGATTTTCAATCTTCTGATCCGTTCTTTGACGTCCCATTTAATAAAATTCAGTTAATTATCATTTATACATCAAAAGAGATTACTGTTTGATGTGAGAAAAATAAGTTTAGCAATTAATGAGTTATTTGATTTTAAAGTTGTCCATTTATTCTATGCATCACCCTCTGTAATATTGGTGCTAAACTATAATACATAGTTTCGTTTCTTTCCTAGGCAGAGTCTAAAATGAAATAATCAAAATGAAATTGTAACTGGGTATTTTTTATACATGCAGTTTGCAAAATTAAATTAATTTTATATTATACAAGGTGATTGGTGATTGAATCAAACGAAAACCACGGTATTGATCATGAAAGAATATATACAATGTATAGCGTTACCAACGTGTATTAATAACATTTAATTTATTGATTATCCTATAATTTTTTAATCAGTTTTCTGGCCCTCTAAGCGAAAACAACAAAGTTTCGTTCGTGCTTAAGGCATTTTTTAAATGTTTATACACAAGTTCTGGTTCTGATTTTGATTAAGTTGAGTTAGTGGTCATGTCTTTCAAATATATCTACAATTATTTCACATTTCCGGCTTCATTACCAATCACGCTGTATGTATGTATGCATATTATTATTATTATATAACTTATGACTTTCCGAAATGGTTTTTTTTTGCCCATAGGAGTAAAAATTACAAAGAGATTCGCACTACATATTGTATGGCCAACTTCCGTATTTTGTACATTTTATGTTAATTAATTATTTTTGTTTTAAAGTAATAATCATTGTACTGACAGTGTGTTTTGCTGGTCAACAGGGACGAACATGATTAAGTAAGTGCCTTGAGGTAGATACAAAAATAATGTCTGCCCTTTAGTTTTTATCAGTGCTTGTAATTGTACAGATGTGTTATTTTATGGATATATTATATATGTACAGTGTGCCATTGTCGATATGTTCAAACTGAGGCCGGATGGCGGTGCAGTCAATAAATAAAGTATATATGTAGCTCAGCTATTGATTTTATAGAAAAATAAAAAATCTTATCTTTCAGAAATATAAAAATCGATATACTTAGAGCAATCTGCTCAGGGTTTTCTTGTTAGTTATTAAGTAACAAACATTGTCTTATCCCTACTAGAACTTAGTCTAAATTTTTACTTTCAGATTGATTCAAATTTTGACGCCAACCCTGAGTCCGGCACTTAGTTCTTTCAATTCTTCCCCAATTTGTTCCTTACAACAGGGAAAATCTGATAAAGAACTTTTAAGTGTTTCTCGAGTTACACTCAAAACTGTTTTTACAAAATCACCAAATATTTCATAAACCTTAGTGATAATAGTGTAACGCAGCTTCAACCACCTCAAAAGATAAGGAAGACAGAAGTACATTCCGGCAATTTTAATTTATACAATTGTATATAATAGATGCCACTGGAGCAGTTTTTNACTATCTTATTCCTCACATTTTTTAACATAATTTTCAACCTTAGAAACATTCAGGATAATTGTGTAAAAGGACGAAAATTCAGTTGCGCTTTTTTATGTTTAACATTTTTACGTAATTTCTGGGTTTTAACTGTGAAATTTGCTTTAAATTGCACTGCAGTCAAAAACTGTTTCCAGAACGTTATTCCCCACGTTTTTATGTATTACATTCACCTTCAACATCTTTCAAAATAATTGTTTAAAAGGTCGAAATTTTAGTTGCGCTGTTCTCTGTTTAACATTTCTACGTATATTTCGTGTTTTAACAATGAATGTTGATCTAATTTACATTGCAGTCAGTAACCCTTGTCATTACATTGTTCTCCACATTATTATGTATTATGATCACCTTTAATATCTTTCAAAGTAATTGTTTAATATTGGCTCCTTTGGCACATCTCGTTTTTTTTTTTAATCGTTTTATTTATCAAATAAACGTTTTTTGCTCTTTTAAGGCGATGTATACTTGTCTGTGTTTTTTCATGACTTTGATAAAAGCGAATTCGTCATTATCAAAACGGCTTACTTCGTCACGAATGAAAGAACGAGATAGATATAATGAGAGTGAGAAAGAGATGGAAATTGAAAAATTTCCTGTAATAGCAAGTACTTCGGTGTCCAGGTCCGATCTAACACGAACAATAGAACAGTCAAAAACTATTAGCACTATCTTATTCCTCACATTTTTTAACATAATTTTTAGCCTTAGCAACATTCCGACAGTAGGATATCAATTAAAAATAAAATTTAGCTTTTTTTATTCAAGAATTATTGTCTATTATCCTATTTATAAACTATGGATATGTACAATTTATTGTTAGATTAAAACTAGTGATGACAATACCAGTCTTCGTATTGGTCTTGATCTTGCTCAGATAATTCTAGAGTCTTGGTCTTGGTCTTAATGATATAACGTCGGTCTTATCCTCCCACCAAAGCTTAAATTGTAAAATTGGCCTTTTGGCTGAAAAAATAGTACTTGAAAGAAGTAAAAATATTAAAAAGAAAATTATTTTGACTCTTATTTCCATGTATTATTCAAACATAGGAACATACTCTGAAAACATTCTTGTAGATCCCTTTTTGTGGTAATAGTTGTAAAGTTCCTTTTTTATGTTTAGTGTCAAAATCTAGTAAAGCAAACTGAAAATTTCAAATACAAAAAATGTTTTGTTTCAATTAAGGAATATATTATAGTTTTTTCAAATGGTTCTCTAGAAAGAAATCTCAAGATATTTCTTTTTAATTAAGTTAATACAAGCAAAAAGGCTTCAGTTATACGTTTCTCTGGTCACCGAGGACAAGTGACGTGTGGACATGCGCACTGTGCGGGTAAAATCGCAAATATTAAAAGAAAAACAGCCTAGGTATAATAGATTTATTAAATATGTCAATGTCAGTTCTTTTAATCATACACAATATTTACAGGTATTAAAATAAAGTGTCTTTTTCATTACTAGAGACTAATAACAATTTTTTATTTAATTATGTGATTAGGTACTTATTTTTTTAAAAATAAACCATATTTCTGAGAAATAAAACACAATCAAGGGTACATGTGTCCAAAGAAATAATATATTTATGTAGGTAAATAAATAAACATAAACGGATTTTAATTCAATATTGTTATTCTTTTTTATAAATATACACAAAGAAAAATCATTACGTATAAAAAAGTTATGTACTATCGACATTGTTTGTAACTTAGTTTACATCACAAAAATGCACTTT